CGGGGAATTTACAACCGTAGTCTTCGGTTAGCCAAAACCAGATCGGGAACGTAGTCGGGCATTATATTAAAACCACAATCCATTATTGTCTATTTCACTAAAGCATGCCTCCATTGTATGATTCCATACATCTCGATGTCCATTTGAGCCGATGACCACGGTCACATTCAAGAAGGTGTGTGTGTGGTTTGTACGCCTCTTATTGGTTGGTTTCACATCTATGCTTTTAGCCAACTTCCTTAGGTGAATTGTAAGTGGTATACCAAATCGGTTTTAGCCCCGGTTGTTGATTTTCGTCATCCGTTTGGTGGGAAAACACTTCGGCCAAGAGAAGGCAGCCACTAGGGGTTCCTCAGCAGATACTTTCGGGGACGTCTGATCGTATAGGAGCATTTTGCGAGGTTCCAGTGAAGGATGATCAGTTACAAACCAAGGCAACCCCTAGAATGCACCATACTGACGATTTCGCAGTTTGAGGATAAATTATATTATATTGCGCAGTTCAACTTGCANGCTACGTCTTCATTTAGCCCCAATGTGTAACGTTCCAGGAACAGCTTCAGGGAGCTTCAAGTCGGGCACATTTGCTGATGTGTGTACAAATCAATAAGCCATATTATCGATCCCCTAATTTAAGCATAGTTGAATGAATGCAAATCGTTTGTTCTTTTTTAACCGAAAATATCATCACGGCCTGTGCTAAAACCGGCCTCCCACTAATCAAACCAAATATCCGGTTCATACAAGAAAGAGTGTGAGCTGTAATAGATATTCTGTGTGATACTGAAATAGATAGAAACATTTCAAACATGAATTGACATGTAAGCAATGTAAGAGTTCCAACATTAGCAACATCTGTGCATAGGCCAATCCATTTCTATCACTGTCCACAGGAACTTGAGGTCCCAGGTGCGATCTACTGAATTTGGTTCGAGCCGGGGAATTCAAAATCACAGTTGGTCTTTCGGACAGCAGCCAGCAGAGTGCAAGGAGCTGTATATATATCTTTGTTGTGTATCAACTAGATAACGCTAACCTACCGGTAGATAATCACACCGAGGCTCAGATCACTTAATCAATAACACTTATTTTCAATTACAGTGATTTGTTCCCCTTCATTCGAAATCACTTCGGATAAGTTCATGTCAATTATATACTAGTGCTGTCATTTGCGTTTAGATCAATCTGGCGCATCCGGTTTTTATCCGATATAAGCCACACTCTCATAGTGTGAACAATATCGCCTCATGGATCAGTCGAAATCCGTGACATTTTGCATAACTGTTCAAACCTGACTTCGTGGTGGTGCCTTTTTTTCGGTCCGGTCACTAAATGTGGATTTCTCCCATTATATCCGGTATTGTCATGTTGATAGTCACCTATCAGTCAATGGTTAACAGGAACACGTATCCTGCTTAATACTGATCCAACAGCACATCGGATGAGTATCTGCTAAAGTAAAAACAATAAAAATCAATATAAGTACTGAAAATTCCCATTTTGCTTTATCCAAATACACGTACACCGTCAATCTGTGTTTCTACGCACGCGTGAATCCACGTGTGGCAAAAAAAAACTCACTATTCTATGTGAATCTTGTCAAGGATTGCCAAGGTGACCAGATAACAACTAACTACAGGTGCATACACATGCTGATTTGCCTCTCCCCGTTTGACTGAACAATACACAGGTCACCACTATGGTAAGCTCTATAACGTGATTGATTATATAGGGGCTATACGGTTCTCAGTGGTCTTTTGACCAAGTCGAATGTACTCAGACAGAAATGCAAACACAAACACACAGAGCAGGTGTGCATGCTATGTGCATCACCAGTAACACATTCCTACTGCTTAGGTTTTGTCATTAAAAGGGAACACACACACACGCACACAGTTACTGTTTTCCCTAACCCTCACATTCCCCAAGTGAGCATGTGGACATGTGGCCACGATCGACCAATACCTTGTATCAGATTTATCACTACTATATCCAACCAATCAGAAATGCGCACGTAGGGACTCACGATCAGTGCTCATATCTGAGAGTGACCAATGGGGAGATTGAGAGCCAAACGCTTTTCATCAACCGACCCGATTGACATGTGAGTCCAGCAAACCGGTTCACATGGACGACGTCATCGTACGGGATCAGTAGAAATAACTGCCTCGGTCGAAGTAGCCATCCAGCATCCATTCGCCTTGGACTATCCGAAGGAATTGATTGGTCGACAGGTGTGGTCTGACAGCCCCGGACAGACTTTGCAGGATTGTTCGCATGTGAACACGTGTGTTCATTTGTGTCGTCCACTCAGTTAGTTTGTTAGTTCGCACACTCGTTCGCCAACTCGTTCGTTCGTCCGCTCAGTCACTAACTCACGAACGTGTGTGGACGTACAACCCCAACTGAAAACCAGTGACTCTCAAAACAGTTGAACAACAACAACTACTACTACTACTACTACGTGTTACCCCGTCAATTGTGGTGAATTGGTGAATCCGGATTCTAATTGTCGTCATACACCGGACTAAAAGTGTGAGTGGGTGTGTGCCTGTGTGCCTGTGTGCATGCGTGCATGTGTGCGCCCGCACATGATTGAGTGTTACATGTTATGTCAGCACTATAGTCGATCCGATTCGTCGTTCATCTCTCTCGCTCTCGCCATTTAGTTTACAACCTGCTTCAGCTCATCCACAGGTACGGATTACGAAAGACAATAGAGTAAAAACGAAACTCATCAGTTTATTGGATCTTTCTGGCATACCACAGCGAGCACAACCTCGTCAAATCAACTCCATTCGGTCACAGTCACCACTGTGTGTGTGTCGCATCCCCCCTTCCCCCGGGAATTCTCTGCACTCCCATTCTTGTACTGACTGGCCTTTTGGTTATTTTGTGAACAAACGCACGCTCGCTCACTGGCACGCACGCACGCACACCTGCACCTGTACACGCACGCACGCACGCACGCACGCGCACGCACACAGACGCGCACATCAGTGACGAAGTCACAATCTATAGTTGCCAGAGAACGAACGCGGAAACATGCACACACACAACACACAGTTACGATAAACAACTAACCACTCACAGTCAAACCCGTGAACACGAAATACCAAATACATTTCCGTTGAAAGTATTGTGATCATCGTATTCACTTGTGAAACATTTGGCACATATCCGTCATGGAAGAACCTAGTGTGGAATCTACAACTACCGATATGCATGAACCATGTGAGCCCGAGACTGTGCAAGACTCGGCGGAACCGGATTCGAATGTACACATGGTGGACAGTGCTTGGGATCAGTCGAATCCGGTGTACGACAAACCGGAAGAACACGCCCTGTTGACGGAATCTCCGGCGGAAGGAAACACAACCGTTGATGACCATTTGATCAGTCTCACTGTGAGTGGCGATGGTGATCGTGGTGGTGGTGGTGGCGACGGTGAAGGGGAATCAAGGGAACACCAGTTGGAAATGGAGTTGATCGAAAAAATTCAGACGGATTCAGCACCGGATCAGTCATCATCATCACCGTCATCACCGGTTCAAGAGACAACCGAGGATCGGAGTGTAAGTGAAACACCGGTTAGTGAAGAACCGATATGTCCATCGCCAGAGCAACCGGATGTGGATTTATCTGTGACATCGGACGGTACAACTGAGGAGACTGTGGAAAGTGTGGAAAAATCCCACGACGTTATTGTGAGCGGTGACGAACCAAGTGAGGTGTCGCACAGTCCAGTGGATGAGGTACCTTTAGTGACCCCAGACGAAGAATCCGGTGAAGTGAACCCAACGGACCAGATAAGGAAAGAGTCACAGGATTCCATTAACGGGACAGAAACCGGGGAGGATCACAACATACCACAAGTAACCTCTGCATTCGAACCAACAGAAAAATCAGAATCTGAAGTACCCATCGAGATGGATGAAGTAACAGAGGAAACGGGACTGAAAAGTCAAGTTAATGAGACCCCGGTCAACCAGAATCAAACTGAAGAAAGCGGCAGAGTAGAAGAAGATCGAGCAATGTATTTGGATGACCAAACATCCTCAAGTATTAAGTTACCCCCAGAGAGTATTAGTCACACCTATGAACCAGAGTTTTCGGAACCTATGGAAACTATGAGAGCAACGGGAGAAACTCCACTTACACCTGAGACGGAAGTGGGGCAATGGGAAATGCATGAAGCTGATTCAATTTTACCATTGTCAACTGTACCAGCTTGGCTCGATAGGGAAGTCGAGGAGCCACTGGATACTCCGTCGCACACAGCCTCATTTGAACAGGAACAGGAGGGGAAGAGTCATGTGGAGCAGCTCGAAGAGATTTCCGAGACGGCAAAGGAAGAACATTTGAATCAGGTGAAGGAAAGCTCGGAGGATATCGATCTCGGTGAGAAATCATACGAAGGTGATTCTACCGTGGAGGAAACAGTCTCACATGAACTTGTGGTTCAACAATATCATCCTCCACCGAGTGAGGAAGGAAGTGCCATACCGTATTCCACAGTTCCTGAATTTCTGGACAAGGAGGTCGATGATACCACAGTAGTAATGGAATATGAACATGTGGCTGATCAAAAAATAGCTGCTGATGAAGGAGAAGACATTCAATTAACTGCAGAACCTAAAAGTTTTGCAGCGGTGAATGATGCAGTCCCGGACGAAACTGCACCGAGTACAGAAGAAACTTTAGAAGACGGGCAAATATCGCACGAGAACAGTATTTGGGAACATGAGAACGTAACTGTCCCTACAGAACTGGATGTACATGTAGAAGCTACCGATGTGTGTATACCAGAACATGAATCTGTTGAAGAGCCGAATGAAAAGCCTATCCAGGACCAGGAACTATTTGAAGCGCAGCCGGAAGAACACCGAGAGGAGCCATCGAGACCTGAAAGTGAAAAACCTGCGACCATACCGCCAACTACAGAAGTAGTAGAAAATAGACATGTAGCTGAGGAAACCAGTGCGACAGAGGAACAAGTGCGGCAACTCGCAGAACCCGAAGCTTTGTCAGAACAAGTGACACTGATTGAAGAAATCGCGCACACCGAGGAGGTCAGCCCGGAGGAAGAGCACCATACGGAACTTCCCATCGCATACGCCACACAAGAGGCGATTTCGCCACACTTTGAAACGGTAGAAGAGTTTAATGAAACGTCACACGACCAAGAATTCATTAGCCCCGAACACGTGACCATAGATGATGGTGCACGAGAGAAGCAGGCACAACAACAACAACAAAAACCACTAACCCGAGCACAATCGAACGAACCAATCCAATCAGACAGTGCACGTGATCAACCAGTGTGTTTCACACAAACGTTAGAATTGGAAGAACAGAGAGCACAGAGTATTGAACCGATAGAGGACGTGCTTGTGAACCAAGCGCAACCAAGTGAACTGGTTATCGATGACGGTGCGACATGCGTAGCCAATGTGTGCACGCCTGTTGAACCGGTAATTCAGCACACAGCAGAAGAAGCGAAAGAACAAGAACAACCGTTCACATTGATAAATCAACCTGAATTAGCACCGGTAATTGGTGCAATTGAACAAACAATGATTAGCACAGAACCTGTGGCAAAAATGGACAGTCAGCCAGTACTGTACGCCACTGAAGAACACGAATTTTCAAGCATTACAAACGGAGAATTGGTGGAAGACAATGAACCATTGATAACTCCGGTGAGCGTAAGTCGGATTCAGGTATCGGATCACAAAAAACTACCAACAGACGCAATGATCACTTCCGGCCAGGCGGCCTTGTTGATCTCGACAGCCGATCGGGTACATGAAGAGGTCGATTTGGTGAACGGATACAGTCCCGGTTCGGACAAGGAGAATGACAATCGGGCCGAGTTTGAGGAACGTTACGCACGACTTATGGCTAAATTTCTTCCACGAGATCAAACACTAGTGGATTCACAGAATCGTAAACAAAGGAGTAAGACATTGGAACCGAATTTTGATATCAATGAGTTGCGTAATTGGAATGAGCCTGTCACAAATGTGAAACAGAAATCGGCTACTCTGGGTCGATCGGGATCACGGAAACGACCGCGTCTGTTACCCAAACCTGCAGTGAATGATGATCACCTGTTCCCGGACTCAGTCACTCCGTCCAAAGTGGACCGAAATTTGAGTGTGCGTAGTCTCAGTGTCGGTTTGCCCGAGGGCACGTATGATGTGCCGTACATCGATGACGATGCGTTTGTGCCCCGAAAATTACGGGACAAATCCGCCCCGAATGCAGTAAACGGACACGGGAGTGATGCGAGCACAGAGAGTGATGAGTATTTGTGGGATCCGAGTTTATCACGTTACAGTGCCTTAGATCCGGCTCATCGAGCTGACGTGGATGAATGTGTCCCAACCCCGCGTAA